TTGCCAGGCAGAATGACAATCCACATTTGTCTCTCATAAAGGCTACCTTTTCCATGGCTAAGGTCATGCCTAGAGTTTCAGAGCAAGTCTTGGTTCATTTAGACAGTGCAGAGAAAAAGGCAGAATTTGACACTGCAGATTTAAGGAAGGAGATTGCAGGCTTTAATATATGCGGGGAGAGGGGGTGGGAAGCAAACTTTGAGTATGTAATGTTAAGGAAACACAATGAAACACATTCTCTATATCCAAATGGTCTTGACCAAATAAATGTGAATCTGAAATATCTGTGCTATGAGGGAGATACATTATGCAGACTGAAACATTAAGGACTGTATAAGGCACTAGCTACCAAATTTATGACAGACACTATTGAGAAAATTCAGAGTCAGATGTAGCTTTGCTCAGAGTTTTCACCTTATTTTTGTGGCATAAACCATGAATCAGAGAATGCCTGTGGGGGAGACATAAAGGGCCCAAAATGCGGGAAATGGATTTTTAACATTCTAAATCTATTACAAAGCACTACTTGGCACTAATCAAGGAATTTTGGAAAGAGGGAGTATTTTGAAAAGGAAGCAGAAGAAAAGCTTTTGAAAGGCTTTTCTCTATGAAATGAGGTTTTAAAAACAATTTTAGTCCAAAGTATATGCATGAGTGCTACAATGAAAATAAATTCAGCTGCCCTAGCCAGTTTGGCTCAGTGGATAGTGCATTAGCTCATGGGCTGTAGGGCCTAGGGTTCAATTCCAGTCAAGGGCACATAGCTCGGTTGCAGGTTCAATCCACAGCCCTAGTCAGGGGTGGGCAGGAGGCAAACAATTGATGTGTCTTACATCAATGTTTTTCTCTCTGTGTCTCTCTCTCTCACTTTCACTCTCTAAAAATCAATGGGAAAAATATCCTCGGGTGAGGATTAACAACAACAACAAAAAATTGCCCTTCTTAAAAAAATAAATAAAATAGGTAAATTCAGCTTCATGTCAATTTATTTATTAATTAATTAATTTATTCAACAATATTTATTGATATGTGCAACAACCAGGAGAAACAAAATTCTAATGACATCCCTGAGACATTTTTAAATAGCCATTCTCTGTTTTCCAAGGGAATTGAAGGGGGGGAGGGGGAGTCATGAATAAGAATAACAGAATTCAGTAACATATATAGTCAGGAATAGGGATCTCCAAGCCTTTTTCCTTTGCCAACTGGCATTTCAAGATGTCATAGCTACAGAATAAAGGAACACAAAAGACAATAGAATTAGTAAGCATATGTCCAAAGAATATGGGACAATCTCAATTTTAAATATCCTTTTCCATTTCTCTGAAAGTATGCTTGTATTGGTCCAATTATGTAGACAATTTGACTTGGAAAATACATCCAGCTAGGCAGGCACTGAGAGAGGTCATCTAATGACCTCCTGGGATTGCTCAGAGGAAAGACAGGTGAATTTAAAGCTGAATTCAAAGATCATGAAGGCTAAGCTATGGTTCTGAACCTCTTTGAGTAGAAATGCAAGAAAATAGATAATGACATATGTAATATCTTAATCAATAAAGAAAAAATTAAAAATAAAATAATAAAGAGCAGATACAAACCAAGAGAAAGAAAGAAAGAAAGAAAGAAAGAAAGAAAGAAAGAAAGAAAGAAAGAAAGAAAGAAAGAAAGAAAATAGGAGAGGACAGAGAAAAGGAAACTAGTTGGGATATTTTCTGGGGAGCTCTATAGACACATTTCTTTGGGATTTAGTAGGAAATGAAAACATGGCGAAGTAGAGGGAAAAAGAAGAAAGCTTATGCTGACCTTTACTTGAAGGTCAAGATAACAGAATAACTTGCATCAATACTTCATTAGATGCTTCATTTTGGACCTCTAAGCAGCTTTTAGTATACCTTTTATTTTTTTCTTTCAGAGAATAAACCATCCCATTCTTGGGGAATGGTCTTGGATATCTTTCAGATAAAAGTGGTTACCAGTGGTACCACAAGTAGATGAAGTTATTTAATCATGTCTAGTCCTTTAAAATATTCCCTCAAATTAAGGTATATTCCTGAGAATATTCTCTGATGCAAGGTAGAGCTGGCTATTTTGAGTCAGAAAATCTGGATTTGAACTTGGTTCTGTCAGTGGCTGATTGTGAAATCTGGGTCGACACATTTGAACCTGGCTGAACCTGCATTTTCCCATCTGTCCTCTTTAAAGTGCTTTTAGGAAGATTAAATGACCCAAAATAGATTAAAGTGCTCTGGAAATGATGAGATTATATATAAATGATGATAGTTATTGGTACTCTATCAACTCTCTTGGCCCGGTTGTCATGGTATGGAAGGAAAGTATGCTAACAGCAAACAAGACAGACTTCTTGACCAATGTGATACTGTTAGGGACAAAAATAGAATACTGGGGACTAGCTATGGTTATGGGAAATATTAATCATGCTCTGTTAACTGTGATTGCCTTGTTCTGGTTAAAGAAAGGACATTCTAGCGTGGCTTGGAGGTGTTTCCCCGGGATCTGAGAGTCAACCTTGGAACTAGGAGTCAACCTTGGAGTGCGGTCCATTCTCATTTATGAACTGCCTATTAGCATGGAAAGATTAACAACTTTGTCCCTTTCCAGCCCATATAGCCTACTTTCCCATTCCTGTAATCCTTGTCCTACCCAGTATAAGCAGCTGGCTTATGGAGGAGTGCAGAGCAGATTTTCATGGACGACCTGCTGCTCTCCCATACGCCTGCATTATTGGAATAAATGTTCATATGAGTCAACCCTGACTCTGCTGAATTGGCTCAAGTAGTGACAGGCAGCCCAAGCCCATTGATTGTCCGGTTTCAATACAAAAATACACTGTACAATGGCAACAATTATCTAGTTCAAAAATATTTTTATTGCTGGGTAACATCAAATTCTATTTATAATTCCAGTCCTAACGTTTTACCCCTATTTAACTTTGACCCCTAACATATTAAAGATTTAACATAATTGGGTACTAATGATGATCTTCAATCAAGTAGAGGGAAATATTTTAACTACCAGTCTTGCAAATGAAGCCAAAAATAATGTTACCACTAAAACTAACAAAATGTTCAGGATAACCTCCTGGTATTTGTGTGACAGACATGCTGTATTCTTAACTTAGGTTTTACCGAATATTTCCTGAATATGTACTGAACATTCACACTGTGGTAGGAACTATAGGGGACATTAAGAAGATACACACACACACACACACACACACACACACACACACACACACACTCTTTGCCCCAAAGGCATTTGCCATCACATTAGAGGGAGACATTGGGAATAACTGCTAAAAAGGCAAACTGAGACTCTAGACAAAAGATAGATTAGGCTCAGTGATTGAGCATTGACCTATGAGCCAGGAGGTCACTGGTTTGATTCCCGGTCAGCGCACATGCCCAGGTTGTGGGCTCCATTCCCAGTGTGGGGCATATAGGAGGCAGGTGATCAGTGACTGTCTCTTATCATTGATTTTTCACTCTCTCTCTCCCTCTCCCTTCCTCTCTGAAATCAATATATATATTAAAAGATAACTTCCAAATGCAAAGGTGGTACAGGGCTCCAAGAGGAAATTATTTTGAGGAAGGTCATAGAGAATGGGTAGAATTCCTTCATCAGCCATGGCAGTGAAGGAATGGTGGTTAACAGCTAAAGTGAGAAGTAAGCTTGAGCTTGAACCAGAGAGTGGATGAGAGCAGTTACATTCAAACAGTAACTACAACAGAATGGCTGGAACATAGGTACAAAAAAAGATGAAGCTGTAATAGCAGGTGAAGAGAAATTTGTGGAAGGTTTTAAATGCCCAGCTGAGAAGCCAGATTCCCCCCCCCACCCCACCCCCCCCCCACCAGCCCAGAAATCCAATGCCGGAAGAATGCTATCATGAATCTTGGTTCTGGAAAGATGTATAACTAGAGGCAGTATGGAGGATTAATTGGAGGGGCAGGAAAGAGACTAAAGGGGAGTCGACTGGAAAAGACCAGATAAAGGAGCTCTGGCCATAGGTCAAGGGTATTAAGAGCTAGAAACAGGGAAGTGGCAGCTGAAAGCATTGGATGAATGGCAGTTTGCTTTTTTTCATCCTGAGGTGACATACTCCAAGGGCGCTGGTTCTCAGATACACTGTGTTCTGGGATTAAGAAGTCTTGGTGCCCTGGGCTAAACCAAGGAGATGAAAGTACTCAAGTCCCACAGATTTGAGCAAGTACTCCTTTATAGACTTGCCTGGTGGCATTTGTCTAAAGACAGCACACTGAATTAGAAGTGATCATGCGCAAAAAATGTCTTTCATCCCCAAGGGTCCTGTGACATATGTGTAATACAAAAGTAAAATCCCAATGATTTGCATTATCCTGACACCACACAATATCCCGGATTTTGATATCTTTATCCTAGCTGCAGTCATTGTGAATTTTCTTTAGTCTTTTATTTCTGCAATTACGACTATTTTTACATGAACATCTTTTGCAGGTGATGCCTGACAGCTGGAATCAACCCCCTAACCTGCTATAACGGTGAGCATCAATGATGACTGCGTTTGATGATGAGAAATGAGATGAACTAATTTGTTCCCAAGCATGACCAAGCCAACGAACCTATTTTCTTAAATGCTTTGAGAGAGGTAATATGGCCAAAGACATGTACAAATCATAATCATAAAATTAAATGACCTGCTTTGTTCTTCAATTCTGTTCTCACACAGAAAATCAAAGCCTCTAAAACACATGCAGCAAATCAAATACCACCACCGGTGTTCATTCCTTTCCCACCTAAAATATGAATTCTTAATTATACTACTGTATTCATTTTCTTCTTTCCGATTAAAAAAAAGAGAGAATCTATACAAGGAGCTAAACAGATTATTGGAGAAAACAATTAGACATAGAATGACTCTAAGTGAAGATTCCTGGCACTTTTCTATGTGTGCAAGCGTATGCACTCTGCATACCAATGACAAAGCTAGAAAGAAAACTCACCTGTTTTCTTCCTCAAGATCTGCTAGGATTCTCTCTAGCTCCCCTCTTTCCTCACTCTCTAAGGAAATCAAGATCTGGGCAGGACTACGAGGCTGGCTCAGGGGGGAGTCCTGGTTCAAACTTTGGCAGTAATGCTGGATTAACAAATGTTCATCATCTCTGGAAAATAAAATCAAAGGTTTTGGTTTTTCCCCCACTTACTTATGTTGGGGATCAGGGACTCAGGTGTGGATTTAAAAATAGAAACACTTATTTGCTCTTAACAATTAATTAGACCCTTGTTCCATTCTGATACTGCTGAGGCTGTGGTCTACCATTCTGCGGGTGACAATTCGAGTGTTTTTCTTTTCAATTGGATTTGATTGGCCTATTTATATGGCTAGATTCATGGCAGAATTATAGAAATATTGGGACTCTATGTTGATAGTTTAACCAATAGGTAATAAATATTAGAAAATAGAATAATGGCTGTATACTGTTTTTACCAAGCATATCAGGGTAATTTGTTCACTAACCCACATTATTGTTGATACTGACCAGAAAAAAAAAACAAAAACAAAAAGAAAACAACAACAACAACAACAACAAAAACCCTGATGCCTCCAGCGAGTAAAGCCCAGCTGGAGTGGCTCAGTTGAGCATTGACCAATGAACCAGGAGGTCATAGTTTGATTCTCAGTCAGGGCACATGCTCAGTTTGCAGGCTCCATCCCTAGTGGGGGGTGTGCGGGAGGCATCTGATCAATGATTCTCTCATCATTGATGCTTCTATCTCTCTCCTTCTCTTTTTCTCTCTGAAATCAATAATAAAAATATATTTTAAAATAAAAATAATGAGTAAATATTTTGTCTAATGGAAGGCAATGTAACCAAAAAATGTCACTTTAGTAAGCCAGTTTCAACTTATAAAAACCACAGAGGCTGAAAAGTAACAATAAGGAAACTGTAGATAAATGATTGTTTCATTCAATTATTATTTAGATAAAAAAACAAAATTTGGAAGAAAAAGGCCATTGAAGTGGCTAAAAGAAAACTGGATTCATTCTTTAGAACAGCTAATCTTGGGGAACAAAGAGGCAAAAGGCTTATATTTTGAGAGGCAGCTGTAATCTTTCCTTTAAACGAAGCTCTGCTACACAGAAAAAAAAAAAAGTATTTTCTGATTGCATTGCTCCCAGCTCCTGAAAAGCCTGTGCATCCCCATGTTATAAGAACTTCATCCTGTTCTAATGAGAGGCTAAAGCTCTGCTTAGCTAACTACCATTAAGATATAGGCTCACAGTCCTCTCTCCACACCCATTTAATTTTCTTTTCTCATTGCCATATCTTCTGAGTTGAAAAAAAGTTCAGATATTTTATGGAAAAAAAAAATCCCCCTGATTTATATTTTGGTCCATCTAGCCAGGGAATTGGTTGAGAAGTGAAATGTTGACTAAAAGTAATCATTGGTTATTTAAAAAAATACTTAAGAAGCCAAACAATCCTCTAAACCAATTCTCCAGACCATCCCCTAAAATACCACGATTTTACCATTCAAAAGTGAATCCAATGGATTTTATGTCCTCAGAATGAACTAAAGCTTTTCATTTAAAAATAAAACAAGAGCAGTTTTACTGCCTAATTTATCTCTTCTCAAATTCTGACATTTTATTGCTAAACCTTATCATGTTTAATTACAACTAGTAGTTATAATTAACCCAGCCAATGTGGCCCAGTGGTTGAGCATCAACCTATGAACCAGGAAGTCATGGTTGATTCCCGGTCAGGGCACATGCCCGGGTTGCAGCTCCTTCCTCAGTGAGGGGCGTGCAGGAGGTAGCCAATCAATGATCCTTCTCATCCTTGTTGTTTCTCTCTCTCTCTCTCTCTCTTCTCCCTTTCTCTCTCTGAAATCAATAGAAACATATTAAAAAATGGTTACAATTGAACTTCTCTTACTGCTCTCTTAAGCCCTCAATTAATGGCAGCCTTTATCATACAGATACAACTTGAATTAAATGTGTTAGAGCTTCTAATATTAAAATCACTGACCAGGAGAAGCAAATAACTCTGGTTGTTTACACTTTGGACACATATATTCCTGTCAAAGTACTTTATATATTAACACTTTCCCCCATAACTAAGAAAGAGAATGCACCAGAGTTATGTTTGGGTGAAAGGTTTTGTTTTGTTTTCTATTGTAAGTAAGTCATACACAATTGGTTGAGTATTGACTTGGCTCTATTAGTATCTTAATCGCCTATATGTATCAGATGAGGTGATTTCTTTCTATGTCTTCAATAACCAGTAATGCATAAGTGCCCCTTTAATGCTATTTCCCTCAGCCTCTTCTCATCTGAGTAGAACTTTGTGTTGCCATATCCACTACCTATGACAAATTTACCACTCATCCCTCTGTCTAGATTTCCCATGACAAACTGGTGCGACATCCGTTAGTTCTCAAACTAAAAACACTGTTGTATTTTGACCAGATTTCTTCTCTCTAAATTATTAATCAATTAGCAGAGCTTTATTTTCCCCTCCTACTAGTTTCTTAATCTACTCCGGCCACTGCAGGCCCTTGGTTCATAGAGATATTCCTCTGGGCTCCGTAGTGTGAATGCTTCCCCTGCTCTATAAGGAAGCCTCCGTTTGGCTGTCAGAGATCTGCTCCCTGACACTTCTAACATCACTCTCTCTCCTTCCTTTAGTTTGACAGGCCTGGTTTATCATTCCACTAAAAACCTGTGACCGGAATATGTACTTCCTCTTCTAAAACCCTTGACAAGATTGCCTCCCTTTATTTTAGCTGGTGAAGATGCTAAATCACAAAACCCTACTGCTTCGGATCTCTGCAGAAAAATGCACAACTAACCTACCATATGGGAATACCAATACGACTCTGCGAGATTGTCTCCACTTCCCTATGAGTGGAGAACATACTACCTAGCCATCACTTTAAAAATTACTACTACCCAGCTGAAACTGGTTTGGCTCAGTGGATAGAGCGTCAGCCTACGGACTGAAAGGTCCCGGGTTCGATTCCAGTCAAGGGCATGTACCTTGGTTGTGGGCACATCCCCAGTAGGAGGTGTGCTAGAGGCAACTGATCAATGTTTCTCTCTCACCGATGTTTCTAACTTTCTATCCCTCTCTCTCTTCCTCTCTGTAAAATATCAATAAAAATATATATATTTTTTAAAAATTACTACTACCCAATTGCCCTAGCTGATTTGGCTCAGTGGATAGACTGTTGGCCTGCGGACTGAAAGGTCCCATGTTTGATTCCAATCAAGGGCACATGACCAAGTTGCAGGCTCAGTCCCCAGTAGGGAGCATGAGGGAGGCAGTCAATCAATGATTCTCTCTCATCGCTGATGTTTCTATCTCTCTCCCCCCTCCCTTCCTATCTGAAATCAATGAAAAAATATTTTTTTAAAATTACTACCCAATAGATTTAAATATCGGGCAGGTCTGGTCAAAGATCAAGTATTTAATATAGTTTAACTATTTGGGGACTCTGCAATTTGTGGTAATATGGAATTAAATAAGAATAAGGCAAATGGTTTTTGCTATTCTGGAATACCAATAGTGCCACAGTTAGGATGAGCTCATTCCATATCAGGTTAAGAATTAAGGGGAAAAAAAGTAAACAAAGGGCTTCTTAAAAGATCAAATGTATATAATGCTAATTTCTATCTTCTGAGCTATCCTACTTCTATCTCCCTCAAAGCAATTTCATCTTCAGGAACATTTTGTAAAAAGAGACGGGATACTTACATGCTCTCATTAGGAGAGATGCTATCATTTAGATAAGATCCATTGCTGTTTTCCATTTCTGCTAGCCTGATAAAAAACGTAAAAGCTCATTAAAACTTATGTGACTTCTTAGAATCTATTCAAGACCTAATCGAACATTCCTGAAAACTAACAGATAAATCACGTCAAGAGGAGAAAGGAATCCTTCAAATTAAAGGACGTGTGTGTTGGCCGAACCATTTGAGGCAGTGAGTGGTAGACCACAGCTGGTTAGTAGCTTTACATTTATGCTATAAATTATAAGGGAAGGAAGGTGTATTTTGTTTTTCTTTTCTCCTTCACAGGTCTATCTTCCTTTCACTGAGAACAAGCCTTGGTTTTCACAAGAAAGCTTCCCTAACAACAAATATACTCCGTATCCTTACACTACCCCTTGTTTTTTAAGATCATTAAAGTTTCCCATTGATGACAGACATGGTCAGCAGTGAGAATATTGATAAAGGATGGATTCACAGTAAGTGCTCTACACACCTTCTGCTACCAATTTTTACCTTTAAAAACCTCCTTCACCTCAGCCCATTCAGAGTGGCCCAGTGGTTGAGCATCAACCTATGAACCAGGAGGTCATGGTTTGATTCCCGGTCAGGGCACATGCTCAATTACGGGCTCTGTCCCCAGTGGGGAGGCAGCCAATCAATGATTCTCTCTCATCATTGATGTTTCTATTCCTCTCTCCCTCTCCCTTCCTTGATGAAATCAATAAAAAATATATATATATTAAAAAAAACCTCATTCATCTCAGACAATAAAAAGGTTTTTATACAACAACAACAAAAAGTTAACCAAACTCTTCCAGATTTATTTAACAATCAAAGGTATTTACAATTAGCAATTCAGTTTTTAGGTATAAAATGATCTCAAACACAAAGAAGGTAAGACAGAAAAGTCCAAAGAGAAGGCAAATCAATTATTCTCTTATTTACAGCATATTATGTAAAATAAACACACAAATGGAAAGCCAATGCTTTCATATTCTCTGTGTAACACAGTATCATTTCTTCACATACTTATGTCTGGTCTAGCAGTTTTCTAAAAAGGCTATATGGTATCTAGGCCAATTTATTAAACGTGCTCACTATGCAAAACATAACAAAGCTATCAGAAATATTTAAAGGTTGGGGTTCGGGGAGATCATTCTGGACTAATGCTCTTATTATTGTCCAAAACCCACATGCAGTGAAATGGCATGCACGTTAGAGGGCAGGTTGATTAGTAGAAATCAGACAAGTTTGGGGGGAAAAAGAAAAGATTCGTTTAAAATTATTATAGGTTAGCTTTCCTTGGTTAGTTACTTTAATCAATATTTGCCTGGCATTCAACTAGTCTCATACCTGCTAGCATAATGTTCAATGCGTGAATGAGTATCATCGTGTGAAAGTTGAGGGGACGAGGCAGGCCTATAAGGCAGAAAATGTGATTAGTCATAGATACCATCCTATAATAGAGAAAAGAAAACCCACCACACAATTATGTTATATACATGGCCTAGAATGCTTTTATTCTAATTCTATGGATAATGTACACATTTAGTTGTTCCTGTAGCTTACATATCATCCAATATTTTGAATTCAGGTTGGAGAGAGGATTTCTCATACTTCTGCTTTTATCAAAAGCCATAGAGAGATATCTAAAACTTCTGTGGAAAGTTTCAATTATAGAAAAGGTTGAGGGAACCAATCTCTGTGTGATATTTTATCCTATCTTGTAATGTCTTGTGTCCTACAGTTCTGAAATTGTTTTAGCACCATGTGATTTTAAATTTTCAAGTCTACATCTGTGCCATTTATTATATCCTTTTTTTATTGAATGGAAACTGTACGTTTGCCTAGATTCACAGTCAACAATTTTAGTTCTAAAGAGGCCACTGCAATACATGACTTCTTAAGATTCCACATATCAAGACACCTTGGTCTGTGTAATTTTTTAAGGAAGGGATACATCTACCAATTTAGCGGCAAGTATATATTACTATTTCAAATAATAAAAGTGAATGACCCAAAGTTATGTTGTAATGCTTTTAAGAAAGAATGACTAAATTCCATATAATGTCACAATATCCTAAATATTTCTCATTAGGGATACGGTGAGCTAATATTCAAAGAGGAAAGCAAGAGGGAGGAATTAATTAGCAGGAATTAGTGTATATACTTTTGGGGCATAAAAACCTTATCTTTGGGTCCACAGACTAGAATTTTGGTGGGGTTAATATTTTTTCCATTCTTTCACATTTAATCTATTAATGATTACTGAAGTTGGTATAGTACCATGGTCGGCAAACTGTGGCTCATGAGCCACATGCAGCTCTTTGGCCCCTTGAGTGTGGCTCTTCCACAAAATATCATGGCTTGGGCCAGTCTATTTTGAAGATGTGGCATTAGAAGAAGTTTAAGTTAAAAAAAATTTGGCTCTCTAAAGAAATTTCAATTGTTGTACTGTTAATATTTGGCTCTGTTGACTCATGAGTTTGCCGACCACTGGTATAGTACCTTAGGAAAAACATCCATCTATTTTGAAAATCAGTTTGGGCTTATGCTTTTTGTTTTAATTGGGATAGTACAAAAGGTCTCTTCCATTTTTCTCCTAACACAGAAAGCCCTTAGGTAAAGGCATGAATCTAAAAGTCAGCAGTAATCTATTCTGTTAGAACTGGTATAGTCCAATGTCCAAGTAGCATTCAAGGACTTGGTAGAAACACTAAGAGGTTTGTTTTTTTCTTACATAAAAAAAGAAAAACATGTAGTCATCTAGGCTTACATAGGAAATATGTTAGAAATCCATCTTTCTTAAAAAACACACAATCATAAAATTATTACAACACACTACAGCAAATCACTGGGGAACTGATGTCTCCTCTGATAAATATCTTTTTTAAGAAATCAGTGTTGTCTAAGTCAAGTCACCATAACCACAGGTGGAATGAATTATAAAGATATTTAAACTATCCCAAAGAAATAGAAGGATAACTATCCAAATTACTAGACCTATCCAAAGATTTCCAGGTGAATCTTTACTCTAGTTTTAGAGAGTTAATCTGGTAATTTCTTAGAACCCTGGAGCAGCCCATAATTAAGAAAATGCTGCCGAGGCCGGTTTGGCTCAAGCCGAGGCCGGTTTGGCTCAATGGATAGAGCGTCGGCTTGGGGACTGATGGGTCCCGGGTTCGATTCCGGTCAAGGGCATGTACCTTGGTTGCGGGCACATCCCCAGTAGGGGGTGTGCAAGAGGCAGCTGATCGATGACTCTCTCTCATCGATGTTTCTAACTCTCTCTCTCCCTTCTTCTCTGTAAAAAATCAATAAAATATATAAAAAAAAAAAAAGAAAATGCTAAGGTTTGTTTTGAAATATTTACTGCAAGTAAAGATAATTTAGTACTTTGATTATTTGGATTATAAGCCCTATCTATGGAACAGAACAGTCTTTCAATTATACACTTCTTATGAGCTAAAAGCCTACCATCATAAAAAAAAATTGTTTTCCCTTATAATAGTTGCTACCCTAGTAATATATAGAAGAAAAACCTGAAACCTTGAAGCATAACTATAACAAGAAAACGCAAAACACTTTAATAAAATCTCATACAGAAAATCTTATGCAGAGCTTTAAGTCTTAGCCTTGAGGATAATTCCATGTTATTTTTCTTATTAATGCACACAGCACCTAACACAGCATGCGTAAGCACAAGAACTCATAATAACCAGAAATCTAAATATATATACAGTAAAGAAGATACTTTTTAAGTTAGAAAATTAGCCAAAAGGGAGTACTGGTCAGAAAACAAGCACTTAAAAACCAAGAATTAGTAAAAGTACAAAACCACTTAGTACATAAGCAAAACTATGAATACAAGGCTTTCTAAAACACTTTTCGAAGGGAAAGTAAGAATACCCTTCTTCCTTCCCACTTCCTAAATACAAAACAACGTACACAGAAGGTTTATTTTTTAAATATAGTTAATGGCCAATTCTAGTCCACCCACTACCACCTTCTCTTTTGTAAAAATTCCACTAGGTTTTCATTCATTTAGGTTTCAAAGGAGAATAGCTCCAAGAATATTACTTGACTGTCTCATTTGTGGGCAAACAATGTAAAATATTTACACTAGATTTAGTTTTAAATGATAAGACAGATATAGGTAAATAAAGTTTTTGTTAAAGGAAAAAGGAAAAATCTGTACCTCAGTAAAGTTTCAAACTCTATGATCCATAGTAAATGGATTAAATGCTCCATCATCATAGGATTTGTTAACATCAGATAAAATTCTTGCAAAGTAAGACACCTTAGGACCTGGCTCTTCTGCCTGAATAGAAGAGCTTTAGAGTATATTTTAGAAATTATATAATCCTATGAAGAAGGACCTTAAAAAAATGACTGGTGTTAAAGAAACCAGGAACTTTAGTCTGCTGGGTTTATTTTCTTCTTTAAAATTAGAATTTCCTACTATTTCTGAATAATCTAGTAAACTTTTATAAGAAGACAAGAGGAGGGTATGTTTTAGTTGTCTGAGAAGACATTTTAATAAAGGCTGTTATTCATTTTAAAGTTCTTTAAAGTTTAAAACAAAAACCCTGTAGTTAAAATCAGTCACACCAAAAGCTCATTGACATCATGTTTTCTCAAGAGTGTATGTATTAAATAAACATTTTTTCTTCTTTCAAGGAACTGTTAGTTACTCCTTGATTATTTTATACTATCTCTATCCATTCATTTTTTAAAAATTATTCTTTAGCCTATTTATCTTTTGGATTTTTTAACTGGTTAAAACTTATTCCAACCCAGAGTAAATTCATTTGTTTATCAGGATCCAATCAGGCTGAGAATTTCAGCACATCAATTTTTTAAAAGCTTCTTACTTCTATAAACAAGTAGACTACCTGGGTTAGGGGGAACAATTACCAATAACAAGGAACATAATTAAATCTCCCCAAGTTGTTTACCCACGATGATTAAGGAAACCAGGTAGTTCACTATTTATAGCTCCTATATCTCAAAATTAAGGGAAATAATAATGCAGGTTAAAAAAAGATGCCTTACACTTCCTATAGGCCAATAAAGACCTAAAATAAACTTTAATTAATTGTTTGCATTTATCACTACAGGATTTTAAAAAAGGATCTACTTTAAATTAAATTACATGGTGGAACAATAAAAAAGACTCAATAAAAATAAATTGAATTCTTACACAAGCCTGTCTTCCAAATTGGTCATTTACCCCTTATATATAATAGAGCTGTCTGACTTTAAGTACATATTTTAATAAACTACACTTTGAGATATCAAAAAAGCCCCACACGATTTTAAAACATGCACACTGTTTGCTAATACATAAATCACAGACCCCCAAAATAAATTTTCTACCATTATAAACTCTGAGATAAATCAATTAGCTGTTGGTACCTAATATTAGTATTATTAATACATGCCACCAGTAATAAAGACTGCAGTACACTTTTCTGCTTATGAGCTGAATATTTAGGAGAGAAGAGCAAAATAAGTTTAGTTAATAAAATGAGCTCATGTATATAAATATCAGTCAATTAGCATGGCATTACATGAGAAAAAGTCCGCACACCGTACTGAAATTATTCAGCCCAACTCAACATCCCACTATACAATGGATTCTGCTGATATTTAATGATTCACTTATAAACAAGTCCTGAAGAATAAACCATCATCCTTTTGAAGGCCTTAAAGCATGGAATCTCAAGGAACGTTGCTAAAGGATGGTCTTATGTAATCAGAAAACTCTTCCCTGCTTATAATTGAATATATAAACATGTCTCCCAGGAACACAACTAACAGCCCAATAATGTCTCTGATGTTCTTTTGTACTCAAGGCCAGGATTTCTGCTCATTCCAATTGCACCAGGTAGGCACCTGAAAACCTTAGTCTGATTCTCCTGATCTGTGGTCGATGGCACTCTCAAAGGTTTACTAAGGGAAGAAAAAAATCAAAATGCAACAAAGGAAATCGATGTGTCTTTAAAACAAAACAAACAAAACAAAACAAAATAAAAAGTTTAAAAATCAGCAAGCGAATGTGTTGGTGGCAGCAGCACCCTTCAGCAGAAGTACTCACGCAGAATCTACCGGCCAGAAGTTGATCAGAGTAACAGGACTGCAAAACAAAAAATGAGGTGGTGAAGAGACACAGGCAAACTCAGCCTCAAAAAAAAAAAAAATAATAATAATAATACTGAAAGGTCAACATAAATAAAACCTAACCAATTAAGGATAAACCATGGAAAGCAACAGCCAAACAAAAGTGCAAAGTGAATTAAAAGAAAATCCAGCAGTGGTGTGATTGCCACCAGAGTTGTGGAGAGAAGAAGGTTTAAGTGAGGTGAAGGCATCCTCAACTTGATCATGAGAATCATTACTGCTTACTGTGAAAGAATTTCCTGTGACTCTATCTTCTTTCAAATAGAAAAAAAAAAAAGTGATTCAACATGACCACACAATCAGATCCAAAGAGACACACATCTGATTTGTGAGGGAGGAAAATCAGAATGAAATACCGAAATCACTCATTTGTAAACAGTCCCGCTTATCTTAAAAGCTTTGAGAGCTAATTTAGCAGTTGGAGCTCGCTGCTTTCCCTGTGAGATAAAGTTTTACTTTTGGGAAAGGTTATTGTCATGGGACAATTGACACAGAAAATGCCGATATCAGCCTGGTTTGCTCTTTTCATCTATAGGAAATCTAGAGAAAGAACTTGGAGAGACTGTTTGCATTTCGGAGTGAAGGAAGGTATTCAGCTGAAAGGAGATCGAATATACATCAAGTGAGAATCTGCTTTGCTTTTGCCATTACTCACGTTTCCATGTTGTCCCCCTCTAAGACAGTCTGCACTGGCAGGTATCCCATTCGGGGATGCTTCGCAAAATACCTTTTGGTTCGAAATTTGTTTTTTAGTACCTTGGCAAAGTCACGAACATCTTCTCCAGATGTAGTCTGAAAGGGAAATTGGGTTGACATCAAACTTGGGAAAGTAAGACCTCCATAAGAGGGACCACTGCAGTGCTCCAACTCGGGGCATTAGTGTGTAATCTCGGAGAGATTAAGAGTTGAGAGCAAAGGCCTTGAAATCAGACAAAAACCAGGGTTTTGAAACCAGGCCTGGCATTTACTAGTGGGATTAACTTGGAACAGTAAGTTATTTACCTGTCTCAGGCTCAGATCCCCTGTGAATCGGGCCAATATACCTCAAGAAGCTGGTACACTGAATAAATGAAGTACCTCAACTACTGGGCTACTCAATAAGTGGTAATTTCTAGAAGTCTTAAAGTCAAAAAGTTAACCTGAAGTTTCGCCACACTTTACGGTATTTTAAAAATGTACTACTGTCCACATGGGTACCATGTTTCACCCACTCAATATATTCACGGCATGGTTCATATCTTGGCAAAAGGAATCAGAGAGAAAGACCATGGAAAAACTGAGAGGATCACTCCGATGATGGAAGAGAGAAATACTCTAAAGTGGAACTTCTCGCAGTGTGTGGGAATCACTTGCAAATCTGGAGAAAATGCAGGTTTTGCTTGATAAAGTCAGGGGCGGGGCTTGGCATTCTGAGTTTCTAATAAGGAAGCCTGCAGGCAAAGCCAGTGCTGCAAGTCACAGACTGTGAATAGGAAGCAACTAATATTGAAGGAACATTGGATTTACACCCAGGTCTGTCTAACTACCAGGTGTAGGCCCTTTTCTTCCTGCCAGTTGATTTTCCAAAGTTCTGCTAGCCCCTTAATATTTCCCCAAAACAACATTTAGAAGGCTTCATTCTGGAGTTTTGGGTGAATTATTTAACCTTAGGAGCTCAGAGCCCTCATCTCTAAACTACTCAGTGTGAAATAGCAATTTCACACTGAGTAGTTTAAAAGGTAAACACCTAGCATTCGCTTGACAAGTGTTAGTATAATATATAAAACAGATAGGAAATGAGCAAGATTGCTAGGAAGGGGTAGATTATGAATTTTGGGGAACCCACATTATACCCCTAAAGCCAACATGCTCCATGACCATAAAATCTCTCTACACGCCTGCTAGGGCTGTGCAGAAATGTGAAAATGTCTTCCCTACAGCCAATGCAAATGGAAGAAAAGCCTATTTATTCACTCATCAGTATTTGTTGAGTGTCTACAACAGTCCATGTGTGCCAGCCCTTGCCCTATGCACCAGGGGTAAGGTAAATCCTGGCACCACAATCTGGAGCTGCTGGAAACAGATAAGTTTCACTAAAAGAGAGATGTTGACAGGAAGCCAGGAAGGCTGGTCAACAACCTTAATTGGTCTAACCACTCACCCTTTAGTTGAGACATTGTTAGCTGAAGCAGCCTCCACCTTGTTTGTCCCATGTAAGTTTCTGTTATTTCCTGCCTAAGGGCATGTAAATTTCTATTTATCTTGCCTAAGATGTTTTCCCCAAAGCCTCAATAAAAGGGATGGCAGGGCCAGAGCAGGGAGTAGTTCTCCCTCTAGAGTTGGACTACCGCCTGGCCCCCCAAATTGCCAAATTGAATTTCTTCAAGTCTCAAGTCCTTTCATTTGTGTGCAGCTCTTCTCCAGAACCTGAACCCTGAATTGGAACTCTTTCCATGCGGGACATGAGATTCCTATATGGAGCCACTTTAGCTGGGGAATATCTGGGGAATGTAGACATTACAGCATTACATGGGATCAGTAATACTGTCCCAAATGGAAACTTCTCCCAGGTGAACTAACTCACATCAGGGAGGCATTCAGCTTACCGGAGTGCAATATTCCACCATGGGGTAGTGCATTTTATGGCCTTTCGCAACACGACCAGAAAAAAAGCAACTTTGGCAGATGTCATAATTAAAGTGCTTCAGACTCCTGTACCTGGTAAAGATCAAAAACAAACACGTATGTATTTCTTCAAATCAAATTCTCAAAGAATATTCTTTAATAAACCTTCTTCCACCCTGGCTTAATTCTAAAACCAAATACTAGAATTTGAAAGCACTTTCAGGAGAGACAGATCTATGTATTATAGGCCCCCTACCCATCATGGGAACAAAACTTTTCTGAAGCAGTTTAAAAAAAAAACATATATATATATATATATATATATATATATATATATATATATATATATATATAAAAGCCCGGCCTAGTGGAGTGGTTCAGTGGTTGAGCATCAAGCTATGAACCAGAAGGTCACTGAGTTCCCAGTCAGGCACATGCCCTAGTTGCGGGCTCAATCCCCAGGGGGTCATGCAAGGGGTAGCCAGTCAAATGATGTTTCTCTCTCATCAATGTTTCTCTCTATATATCCCTCTCCTTTCCTCTCTGAAATCAATGAAATATGTATACATATATATAAAGCAATTTCATAAAACAAAAGAAAATTAAACATGAACTTTCCATTAAAATAAATCTTTTTAAATTACTTTTTCTGATTGATTGACATGATTCATCTTCAGAGAGTTACTTGGATAATCTCTTTTATCTGTCTCTCTTAAGAAATCCCTTACTACATTACCCACAAATGATAAATGAAGCCCCAAGAAAGGACAAAAATTGGATTAGATGAAAGAATGCATACTGTGTGCGTACTAGATGGTACATTTTGAATAGTGTAACCTTTGTTTCACACTCTCTTTGCATTTTGCTTTCTCAGGTAAAAATTTTAGCCAATTCAAATAAACATTTTTCATATGTCAGTTATGGGAAATGGTGGTGGCGGTGGGGGGGGGGATACCTTTTTTAGATCCCAACCATCTTTAGGGGAAGGGGAGAGGCAGGAGGAAAGAGAAGGGCTAATTTCTAAAATAATCGAATCTGATAAGGACAAAAGGAGTGAATGTGAAAATGCTCTTAGATCTTCCAAAGCATTCTCCTTTTTATTTTTTATTTATATATTTTTAAAATATATTTTATTGATTTCTTACAGAGAGGAAAGGAGAGGGATAAAGAGCCAGAAACATCGATGAGAGAAACATCGACCAGCTGCCTCCTGCACACCATCTTCCGGGGATATGCCCACAACCAATGTACATGCCCTTGACCAGAATCGAACCTGGGACCTTTCAGTCCGAAGGCCAACGCTCTATCTACTGAGCCAAACCAGTTTCAGTTCCTTTTTTATTTTTATAAAATTTCCCTTATGCATCTTACTAGTAAGGGGAGTTCACAAAAGAAGGAATGTAATGCTCTGCCCTATGGCTCCTCACACCTGCCCCTGCCACAGCATCATTCTTACATGCAAAAACCAGGAAGGAAAGAAGGTGTCCTTTGCAAGCCCTGCCTATTCAGTATTGTCTCTTTAGGCTTTATAAACCTCTAACACAGTGGGGTTCCCAACCTTTTTTTTAGCCATGCCCTACCTAAGCATCTCTAAAATCCTAATGCCCCACTCCACATGACATATATACTGAGTGGCCAGATTATTATGATCTCTGAATGCATAATAATCTGGCCACTCAGTGTATATCCTGTAAAATAAAAGGCTAATATGCAAATTGCCCCCTCAACCAGGAGTTCGACCAGCAGACAGGTCGGACAACCGCCCATGTCCCCTCCCCCTGGCCAGTCTGGGTGGACCCCACCCATGCACGAATTCATGCATCCGGCCTCTAATATATATATTTTATATATATACACACACTCACACATACACTGAATGCCTGATTATTATGCATTTAGAGATTATAATAATCTGGCCACTCAGTGTAATTCTTATTATTCAAAAAGTGAACTCCTAGTCACTTGGAGGAAGCCTAAAAGGCCATTAACTTGGTCTAAACAAGCTCCCAAAGAACATGGAATCCATGAAAGAGAAAAATATAAGAATGAAAGGACAGTTGAAGTACTGAGGAAGAAATCACTAAGACATTATTTAAAAATAATAATATGAAGTGATATGAAAAAATAGCAAATAAAGTTTCAAAACATATAGAGAAGTGCAATGCATAAATGCCATATATATTGCATATGAGGGCCCTAGAATCATAAGAAATGCAAAAAAATACACTGTTAATTACTCATTCTCGAATTGGCCCCCTTATAAATCAAATTGCTCTCCCCTACCCCCCATGGGGCCTGTGCCTCATGTTGGGAACCATTGTTCTAAAGCTTTGTAAAACCCCTTTGTAAAGAGCATGAAGTATGGAAGGACAGAGCACACAAATGACACAAAGTAGTTATTAGGCAACCAAGTATTAAAACAAGCCCAAGCATAACCAGGAAGAATATTTACTTAGCGACTAAGTGGATTCTGAACGGGCACAGACTATAGTTTACAACTTTATGGCTTAGTCATCGCTAAGGAAACCTTGATGTTGACCCAGATGTTTAAATACACCATCATTTCAGAATTTGGATTGGGGATTATTGTTCAATAGGATGAGTCCATTTAAAAATCTCTGTCTCCCCAAACAGGTCGACAAGGCGGAAGGTAAGAGCCAGTTGTTTTCTGTGACAGTTTAAGAATTTCAGAATAATAACCTGCTTTGTTTCTTAGCTCTTTTTACTTTTAAATTTATAAGGAACATGTTCCTTTTATAGCTGCTTGGTGAATCTTTCATTTACTTGCATACTTTATATTCCCTTAGAAGTTCATTAGGATACTATGTAGAGAGCCTAATCAGATCCGCAGATAGAGAAGTTCCCGTGTGCTTAAAACAACTCTTATTACTTTAGGGGGAGGAAATGGTACAAAGCGAATAGGAGACTGAGCTACCATGACGGGTCTCCCAAAATAGAATCATTCCTTAGTTTTATAACTCATTCTTGGATACTGCCTATAAACAGAAAAGACCGTGAAAAATAAAAAATAAAAAGACAGATGGTCAGAATGTTTTGGCTGCAGGAAGGCAGGCAGAGAGGCACAGTGTATCTGTATACTGTTGACGGACACATATCTTAGTGGAGACAGGCAGTCAGTCGTGTTCACCCAAGACTGTGCCTCTGAAGAGCTGAAAAGCACAGGCAAGAGACACCTGCCTAAAGAGCCAGATCCACCAAAATAACGCAGTGATCAGGGGCGTGATGGATCACCTCCTCCCCAACTTTGAAGACTAACAGCAACTGGTACAGGAGGTAAAAGATCAAGGCATTAAAAGGAAAGGACATGAAAAAAAATTGACATTTGGGGGACTCCTAATACCTGAATCCAATGATTGGGCACTCCTTGCAGATGTTACACTTGGCCTGATGCTTGGCGGTTTCCGCAGCAGCCACTCTGTGCAGGACTGGTAGCCACACCATGGACTGGGGTTCCAGCCTCATCCAGTCTAGGAAGAGGGCCGCTTCGATCTCGGGCTTATTATTGGCCTGCAGAGACAGGAGGGAAAGTGAAGGCGGGGGGGGGGGGTAGGTATGGGGAGGGAACAAGGTGAGAAAGTAAAGGAGGCACATATCAGTAGAGGTCATGAGTTAAAAGAAAAAATCAGTAACTTGTACAATGAAGGCCAGTGTTTGCAGTTCGTTTCTACAAATGGTCCCCCCCTAACATTCGCATGAGCCATCTACCCCTAAGGCTGTGAGCTGCCATTACTCTGGCTATGGGATGACAAGGAAATAAAAAAAAACAACTAATGGAAAGCAAACTGTGCACCTGAGTGACACTATATTGAGCTCCAGTGTTGGAGCAGACACATAAGTTAGCCAAAAGAAAAAGACAAGTGTTTATGGATAAAATTTCAGAGGAGGAAAAAAATAACCCAGAAATATTGATTCCTTTTTTTCTAAAGAATCTATTTCTCAATGTGTCATAGAATCATAATAAAGAGGTTTCAAAATTCATCTGGCCCCAAAGCTTCATATTACAGAAAACACACCCCCCCCAAAAAAAAAAAATCACCAGAAATAGATGAGAGAAGTAGCTTTTCAAAGGCCATACAACTAACTGGTGGCAGAGCTGATATTGAATGCAAACCACCAGAACTAGTGTTTTATTGATGACCCGCTGTTTCTTTATCTGTCTGTGTCTTTATTTTCCCCCCTTTCCTTCTTCCTCTTTCAAAGTCTAAATTTTAATAAACACCATTCCAGCAAGCAATGCAATGATTTTAGAAAGCTCAAAATATATTTAGCCATCACTTGATTTATATATTATCATAGTCGTGCATTTTAATTAGACCTTGCTTTTTTTCCCCCATAAGACTGTTTAAATTTTTTTATATTGTTAGACTGATTCATACATTGATGACTTCCTTTTTGTTTTTCATTCCTTTAGTATCTGCTGGCGGTGAATATCTCAGGTTTTATCTGAAAAATCTCTTTTTTATCCATATTCTTGATAGCTATCTTTATTGGGACATAGATTTTTAGGTTTTGGGGGTTTCTGTTTTTTCCTTTGTTGTAGCACACTGAAATATTACTCTACTTTTATCTCACTTTCTCTGCTGCTACTGCTAAGAAGTCAGCAGTAAAGCTGATTGTTGTTCCTTTGAAGGCAATTCGTCCTTTTCCTGTCTTGTGTTGTATCTCTAGGGTTTTATTTATACTTTGTAGGATTAACTGGGCTTCTGGAACCTGTGGGCTTGAGTCTTTAGTCAGCTCTGGAATTTTCTCAGTCATCATCTCAACATATAGTTTCTCTTCTCCATCCCCTGTCTGCTCTGCTTACAGAAACCTGTAAGATAAATGTAGACTTTTTCTATCTAGCCTGCATTTCTCTAGTTTTCCCTTTTTGTCTGTTATGCTTCGTTGCAAACGATCCCTTCTGCCTGGAATCTATTTCTCTCTTTAGAATCATTCAGTCTGATGTAAGCTCATACAGTATATTTTAAACTTTTCTTATTGTACTTTTTAATAACTAAAAGTTTTAGTTGATCATTTTGTTGTTGTTGTATTTTTGGAGAGTGAAAGGGAGGGGAGAGATAAAGAGGGAGAAACATCAATTGGGTGACTCCCAACTGGTGCCTGGGATGGATCCTGCAACTGAGGTGTGTGCCCTTGACAGGAATCAAACACATGACTTCAGTCCATGGGCCAACACTCAATCCGCTGAGAACAAACCAGCTGCTGCTAGTTGGTCATTTAAAAGGTCACTTCTAAACTTTGTGGTTCCCTGCAGATATTTTTCAATGTCTGCTATATTCTCTTAAACAAAGTAAATATGGTTTTCAAAAAATAACCTAACGATTCCAACACATAAAATCACTGCGGATCTTTTTCTATGGTCTGCTATTTCTGCTGCTTCTTGCTCACCTTGATTTCCTATGTGCTCATTTTTTTTTTTTTTTTTTTACCATGTACTACATTGACCTTAATATATTTTCAGGAGGTGCTTTTGAGCCCTTGACTGGAAATGCCTTCTCCAATAACAATTTTCATTCACTTTGCCAAGAACCCAAGGGCACTACCTTTTCTGAGACCAATTTAAACTGAATACATGATGGATATTTAGGATCATACAGGCTATGTGTATTTGAATTGCAAACCCATGTTGCTTCCTTTGAATATGGTTTGCAAATAAAGACTCTATTCACATTTCACATAGAAAGGCAGTAGCATTTATTTATTTATTTATTTATTTATTTATTTATTTAAAATATATTTTATTGATTTTTCACAGAGAGGAAGGGAGAGGGATAGAGAGTTAGAAACATCAATCAGCTGCCTCCTGCACATTCCCCACTGGGGATGTGCCTGCAACCAAGGTACATGCCCTTGACCGGAATCAAACCTGGGACCCTTGAGTCCACAGGCCGACACTCTATCCACTGAGCCAAACCGGTTTTGGCGGCAGTAGCATTTAGATAAACAGGTCACTTGCCTTGCAACACCCACCACATCGGCAGTACCAGTCATCCCGGATGACAAATTTTCCCACACTGTAATGAGTTATTTAACCTTAATTTCCTAGCTGCAAATGGTATCAATTCAAGCTTCTGATAAAAGGTTTTGTTGAGCACTTTTTGAGGTTCTTTGTGGAAAATGTAAAAGATGAAAGGGACCCACAGAAGTGAATTCATCTTGTAATGGCACCACAGAGCTGTAAGACCTTTAGCAGTCATAGAACTCAAGGTCTTAACCAAGAGCTACTGTGTTCTCCTAGCTTCTATATAAACACCACCCGTGCATGAGAACAAACATCCTTAATGGACGATTTTGACTATGTGTGTCCAGGGAACCCTGTTAAAAGTGTCTTCAGCCTGAGCTGAAATTCACCAGCAGAACGAATAGAATTAGAGGCTCCGGCTCCAGGAGTTTGACCCCTGCTTGCCACTTATGGGCTTTGTGACCTTGAGAAATTAACTTCATCTCCCGGCGTCTTAATTTTTTTCTGCCATGAAATGGAACTATTAATAGCGCCTATCTCATAGAGTTGTTGTAAGATTTAAATGAGTTAACAAGTGAAAGGCACTTGGAACAGTGTCTGGCACATAGCAAGGGCCGTGTCAGTATCTGCTGTTGTTACTGTCATTATAATTATCCATCTGACCAGAAGCCCAGAAGTCTTCAGCCTTCTAGCAGCCCTTTAAGTATTTTTCCAAAGCTGTCATGTTCACGCCACTTCATCCCTACTCCTTTTATTTCTTCCTCATATGATATGGCTTGATTTGCCACTGTCCTTTAGAAAATTACTAGAGGCTTGGTGCACAAAATTTGTGTACAGGGGGTGGGTAGGTCCCTCAGCCCAACCTGCACCCTCTCCAATCTGGGAGCCCTCAGGAGAGCCCACTCCAATCCAGGAGTTGTCACGGCTAAGGCCCACTCCCTATGCTTCTCTGCTTGCTGTGGGGCTTGACCGTTCTGCACCTGCTGCCCAGAGGCTCTCCGTGGGCCAGAGGCCCTACACGGCTGGGGTGGGATGCTTTCCTCATCACTGCGGCGGCGACAAAGCAAGCATTCCACCAGGCTGCTTACAATGCCTGCTCTCAGCGGCCATCCCTCCCACAGGACGGGGGCACTCTGGTGGGGCTGAGGGGACTGGGCGCTGCCATCTTGTGGCTATGGGTGCTGCCATCTTTGTGATGGAGTGATAGTTAATTTACATATCACCCTTTTATTATATAGGATTCTCCAAATATGACCTGCAAGGAATGGTCCCTCCATTTCTCATCCAATATAACTGGATGCCTTGCTTTTGTCCAATACTACAGGCTCACACAGGGTTTCCACTCATTTAAAACCTCTGGATCAGTGTTTCCCAGTGTATCCAGCAGATCAATCATCCAGCAAAATGCTTCATACAAAGGTTAAATGAATTAAAGAAACACTGAATATTATACCCACCTCTTAAAATTCTTAATGTACATTAACATACTAGAAGCAAAGAAGGTCATCAGTAAAGAATTTCCTACACTTGTTATTCAGTGATCGTAAGACACCCCCTCCCCCCCTTTTTTTTTTTTAATATTCTAAGCCCCGTGAACACCACAAGTTACTAATGCTCTTTTGGGTATGACAGAAAATAATGATTTTGGCTGCCTCCAGTGATTCCTCCATTCTATACTTATTCATTTGAATTTGTTTCCTCTCACTTCTGTCAAAGATTGTCCTGTCAGTTTGATTCCAGTGTACACTGTACAATCTCATCATTACCCTTAAAAATTGTCTCTTACAGTCCATGAATTAGCCATTATACCCAACTCTGTATATTCTGTACATTTTAAAAAATGTGTTCTGTCTTCATCAAAAAGTCACTGGTGAAAATATCAAACATTGAGGCCAAGGTCAAACATGAGCCACATCCTTGCTGGTTTTGCTCAGTGGTTAGAGAGTCAGCCCTCAGGCTGAAGGATCTCGGGTTCAATTCCAGTCAAGGGCATGTATCTTGGTTTCTGGCTCGATCCTCAGCCCCGGTCGGGGCACATAAGGGAAGCAACCAATCAATGTGTCTCACATGGATACTTCCCTCTCTCTGTCTCTCCCCCTCCCTTCCACTCTCTTGAAAAATCAATGGGGAAAAAATATCCTTGGGTGAGGATTAACAAAAAAACAACAACACAAAAAACAAAAAATAAAAATGAGCCACATCACCAGAACCTGTCCCTCAGGTCACCACAAATCCAGGATTCAGCCCTGACTGTTGAAGTGTGACTCTTTCCAGTTATTGTCTAAACTCTACTGCACACGTTTCTCATCACGAACACAAAGACACAGTGAGAGACTTTGTCAAAAGAACTACAAGTTTCAGTTACAGCATGTCCTATAACAATCTCCTGCTCCACTGGTCTTGAAACTGACTTTATCAAAATAACCAACCCCTTGTAGCTAGGGGAGAAACCATTACAGAAAGGCAGTAAACTGAAAAGCACTACCAGTTCATTCCTATTTAAAGCATGGGTTTATTGATGCTTAAACTGAACCTATGTATGTTT